TAGGATAAAATATTCGTATGTTTCCGTAAAGCTTAATCAACGACGTGACGTCAAGCTTAATAACGGAAATCCCCGAGTTGTAACCGATTGATATTTGACACGAGCAGCAGAAGTTTCTGAAATAAAAGCACGAGACGTTAGGCATGAAAACAGTCGTTCTATTATGTAAAGCATTAAAATCTAACTTGTAAGAAATGACAATTTGATTTTGAAAGATAGGATTTGATAACTCATTGATTTAAAGTTCGTCATCGCAAATCACGAATGTGGCAATATTTTGATCAAATTATGAGTGATATATATCCGTCATTCACACACTTTGAACAGCAGACACTGTCACATTACGTTAATTTTCTAGTCTAAATAACTTACGTCCATAAATTTACATTCAAATCATGACCAGTACATTCTCTATGCCATGTCGACGTAATGCCATCGCATTATATTTTTAAACCTCGCTACAACGCCATTGCTGTTTAAAACTAGATAGAGTGTAGCAATATATCGAATTAGACAGGCATGGTGTTACAAAGACATAAAAACGGTACGGAATGAACACATTGACAGAAGATACAGCATATGAAATGTTTGAAGGTATAGCGAACGTTATAACACTTGGGGAATATAGAGGGGCAGTATAAAGAGGTTTAACTGAGAACTGTTGGCGTGAATAGAATCAATAGCACAATTTTATATGAAATAAAAAAAAATAATTTGTTTGGTTTTCATTTTTTTTACACTAAGAATTCATAGTGTTTTCCTGCTATGTGTGTTATAGAAGACGTAAGAATGTGAAAACACATTCTACAAACATGCATATTAGTTTTGATGTCATAACAAATTAAGTTCTCTATTTACGTATGAATTGGGTGTTGATAAATATTTCCATGCGTTTGGGGAGATGTGCGGTGTATTTTGTTTTCCTGAATAAAAATATTAAATTTCTAAATATCTATATATCTCTCGGCACAAATCATTGAAGACACTAGATTTTTGCTATGTCAGAGAGTTTTGATTTAACGCTAAATGACATTACAAATATTGTCATAGAACAAATTTGGTCCAATTTTCCAACAACACGACAAGAAAGTTTCATCAACTTAAAATTTCAATAATTAAATAAAAAAATAGAAAAAACATTTGATTATTAATAACTTTATTCTTAATCTATAAAGTGACACAGCAATATAAAGTGTAAAAAAAACATACAATCATCAAAGTTAACGTTGCAAGAGGTTAGTTTTGAAGAAATAATAACTTTTTATAGATAGAAGTTTAGGTAAATTAAGTTGACAAATCTGAGTGACATTGCTTCAAATTTTATAGTACATAGCTGAGGGTACATTTGGTCGCTATAGAGGATACCGTTAGAGTAAGATATCTGGCTGAATTAGGTGTGGTTTAAATCGCTACCCCCGATATTTTTCTCTCTATCAGGAACATAAAAGTTTCGGGGAATGTACAGGTAGACGATAAGTGCAATTAGTACGACGGAATAACGTCCTATCAAAAGTGTACAGGTAAAAATGGGCTGTTATTCTGTCTGTGTTGGAAATACATCCTAGTATACATTGCCGTATGCCAAGAGAGCTAACGGACATATACCAAAATCTTATTTAACACATTTTAATTAAGATGCTTTACAAAGCCAATCAAATGTATTAATTGGCGGGAATTCGTTAATCCGTATATGGTGTCAACACGGAATTAGCACACACACCTGTCTGAATAGCATACCTGAGGTATACTTCGCACCTGTGCGATGGGTCAATATTAGTTTTACCTGGACACTCCGGGGGTCGGGACAGGTATACTTGAAAGTGAGGTATACAAGAAATTGTTCCAGACAGGCTAATTTCTCCAATATGTTTCACGTGTAAGCGAAATATGTATATGTCTGGGCTATCAGAACAAGCTGGGTTCCTAGCCCCTCGAGCATCAGACCAAGTGATTGGAGATTAAGGGGCGTGTGTCATTCTGATCCTTAAAATCTTGACACAATGCAATTAGGGTGTTAAGACAAACGTTTTTTCTAAGCCAGACATTTTCCGGTAAATCACAGACAAGAGATTATTTTTTTGATAGAAGAATATGCTATACCATAAAGATACACTTCAAGCAAAGAATGTAATTTATTTAATAAAAAAATCTATAGAATATGATTGAAATCAATTGTTATTATATATAACATAATTCTAGCCTACACTTGAAAGAACAATTATACGATTGACTTAAATTTGTGTTTTTGTCTATAATAAATTAATAGATAAATAACCAATGAAATAAATAAGGTTGATTCAAATATTCAAAAGTCTTAAAACGCTGTGCGACAGATATCATGTCAAATACTATTTTTAATTTTATCTACATAAGTGTTTTTGTGAAACATGCACTGAAATATTGTAGGTTGGTGGGGTGGGGGCGTTGAGTGGAGGGGGAAGGGTGGGCGATTCGATGAAGGCAAGGGGGATAGTCCAATAAAGTTTTAACATATCAATGATTTTTTGAATGAAATATCAATTCAGAATTTATCTTAGTCCATTTTTTTTCACTTTCTTTTGGTATTTATTCTAATTTTGTTTTAACAACTCAAAGATGCGGAAAATCTGTTATTGCGGATCAATAACACTCCGAGTGAGTATCCAAGTGTAGATTGTGTCGCCACAAAAAGGCTGCGAAGTCAATCTTAATCTAAACAGATAAGGCCTACATATTACACATTGTTAGCATTGTGTCTGATTGAAAAAGCACAGAATATATGTGGTGATATGTCATTGAAAAATTTCACATATTGATACAAAATGTGAATTCCTTCACGTTCCAACAATTAGGCCTACCGCGCGAGGTGCTGAGATATATTGAACAGAACTGATGTCTCTATCAGGCGAAACACGTGTATCTCACCAGTAGTCACTTAAGGAAAGAATAGAACTTCAATATTGTCTCTTAAGATTTAAGATATCGTTAAATAAACTTTACTATGTTCTAAAGCAAAATAACGCTCAACCGTTATAATGAATTTTAATGTTTATTTCAATGATGCATATATACTCTAGTGTAGCGTAAATCTAAGTGAAAAACACAACATGACTATTATACATAATCTATATATTTCTAAACAATTTATCTTGAAACTCTATAATAACTTAAATTACAGATTAAACAACAGATATGGCCCTGATTCTCATGATGTTTCAACATAATCTACTAGAATTAAAAAAGGACACCATTTCAAACTTTGAATTCTTAAAAATTGCAGGTATCTATTTCTATTTTATTGTTTAAGCAATAAAAACTTGAAACAAAACTCAAACTTTTAGTTCTTAACAATGCGTTCATAAAGACGGAAACTTTGATAAAGTATATCACAATGAGATGATCATTGGTTTTATAACGAGAAAGACCCTCCCATGCCGTTTCTTAAGACGTCTCTTCTTCAACAGAACAAAAATAGTATTATTGTGTACCAGTTTCTAAATAGAATAATTAAAACCGCCTAAAACATTAATTAATTATATAATTAAATTCACATTTCATCTCATCCATGATTTTTTTATCCAGATGTAGAATATTATATCTATTGAGAAAAGAGCAATGGAATTCACGGAAACTTCCCGCGATCCAGAAACATTACCGCACTATAACAATAGAAACTTCTTCAAAATTAGATGGAACCCAAATCTTATATTTAATTATCAAGTTGTTTTTTTACAAGTTAGTAAACATCTCTCAGTTGTTAGGTTAATTAAATTTGTTTTGAACTTGTTTCGTGTGTTTAAAAAACTCCTTGATGCATCATTTGAGTAATTCTATGTTAGGTTAATAAACAACACACTGTTTCACCGTTACCAGAATACTGTTTCGGTTATAATGATATGTGCGCACATTCATTTCATTTCCAAGATAATATTATTGTAGTGAATGGCTCCTTTTTGTATCTCATTATAATCTATGTCAAATACTTTGTAGAAGTTTTTAGCAAATGAATAGAAAAAGCGTAAAATCTTATCACAGTTTGTCAATCCCATACAAAGTCGGATTAAATTTGAGATCATAGACATTCAAAGTGTAAGTAAAATACTATAAAAACAATTTCACTGTCCCGACATCAGATAATTCAACCCTTAAGCCTTAAATATTGTTCTTAAAACCCATGTTCAACATCGCGGCTGAGGCCTGCGGGCCGAAAGCCCGACAAATCGCTGTTCGGGTAGTGTTGTAGTTTTGACAGAAGCTGTTTATGGTAATTAGCAAAACCGCGAAAGGCACCGTTTGCTGCGAAACAAGACATCGATTTGTCGAGAACAGTGAAAACTATGGCCCGAGGTTCTTCATATGCAAATGAGCGCGTGGCAAATGATAAACATCTCGAAGCTTAGTGGCTGATCCTCAGGAAGGGCAGTGATATAAATTTCAGAAACATGTGCTACTGTGACGTCAGTCGAAGCATGCCCAAACGAAACCAAGTTTGAGTTGATATCTTGTATATATTTGTGATGGACGTACGAGACATTACATTTCAAGCTAGAGATAAACAGTTTCACGAGTAAAAGCTACTTCCATTTCGATCCACGAGGACTCGGTATACACAGACCCGTACTATCAACCCTACACAAGATAGCAATATATTTGTCGGCGAACGAGGAAATGTATGTTTCACTTCTCATATCATAACAATATATTTAAGTTGGAGTACATACCATGTATCTACGTCCGTAAGAGGAAGATATGTGTTAAGAGAAGAAAAAAACAATTGATGTCGAAGATATTGTGTTTAAGCCAACAGCGACCCAGACTTTGATCGAGGTATTAAGACTGCCAGAGTGAAAAAAACACACACACAAGAAACCCAACGCTTTGGATATTACAAATCTACCGATCTATGTTGACTGGAGAGCTACTTAACCTTATAGACACCGGTGCATTTTTCTTAAGATTTGTGAGAAAATTAATACATATTTACAAGAAAATATTTTCTTCATTTCACCATTGTGGGATAAATGGACACTTTACATGAATCGATTTCGCTAGAAGACTTCGTAATAGCTACAACTTCTCAGGCAAACTCAGGGATGACAATGCATCACTTGGACTCGCTACCCAGTGTCCCCTCCGAAGGGGGACTTACGTCCCCCTCCGCGCACGTGGGAATGGTTGATAGTCTTTCCCCAAGCTCCACCGACACCTCTATAGAAAAACTCCACACAGGTATGCAATTAGTATGGATTCAGTACGAAATAAGTACTAAATTAGTATGACTTAAGCTTAGATTCAGCATGAGTTCAGCATCATAACAGTATGGATTCAGTGTCAGTTCAGTGTCGATTCAGTATGAGATCAGCATCTATTCAGTATGAATTCGACATGGCTTCAGCATGAATTCAAAATTATTGTAGTTTGAATTCAGTGTTAAGTGTGAATTTAGTGTTAAGTATGAATTTAGTGTTCAATGTGAATTTAGTGTTAAGTATGAATTTAGTGTTAAGTACGAAATCAATATTTTTTATTGATTCATCGGTTAATCATTGTATATTATGCATATCTAGTGTCCTAGCTGAGGAGTACGAAATAAGTATGTATCTTTGAGGAAAATAGCAAAATAAGTCTAACGTGAGCCATGTAGGGGCATTTATTTATTATGAAATCTTAAGTTGTAACTAATGTGAGATATTGAGCTCTAGGACCGAATCTATCTAAATATAAATAAGATTTTTATGTCTTTCCACCTTGAAATTTCTGAGCTTTGTCGACAACCAATGCAACAGGAGACAGAAAATATTAAAACTGTGAATTTTCAGGATATCTTATTTATATTGTAATTATGCATGCATGATTTTTACATTAGATTAATACATATATTTGCAAGTACTTGACATTCTGTAAGGCCACCATCCGGATTGCGTTAGATATGATAATTCCGTAATTTACAGTACACTTTTTGAAATTTCATTATATACTTATAAAAAGAGAGATATGTAAACAGGATTTTGATATGCAATAACATTATACAAAATGTATTCACATAAAAGAATAACACAATAGTTTTATGATTTAATGTCAACTATTTTATAGACAAATAGTTAAAAACAGATTCAAGTTACACACTACGATTCAACTCCAAGACAGATATTTAGCAACTTATTACTATATAACTTTAAGAAGCCAGACCAAAGAACGTGCATTGTGTCGGTAACGTAATTCTATAAAATCAGGGATAATTCTATAACTGACAAGATCAATTTAGTGTTTGTATGTTTAAAATGAACTTAAGGTCACTCGTATATCGACAAGAATTTCTTAAGACGACCACAAGGACTATAACCGTCAAGCAAAGAACGTCCAAATTGATATTATCTCCACTCTCGTGTCACATCTAGTTTGACGACACTCTTAAAATTGTAGAATAGGATTTTTTTTCTTAAAGGTTCATATTCATACAGAAAAATCCCAGACGTGTTTTTAATTTGTTCGGTAGATCTCATAAAACCTTTTATGGATTTCGCATATCATCACATTGCCTTATTATGTAAGACTATACTGTTTGTTTATGAATACAAACTTCTTTGTTTAAACGGAATATCTGAAATTTAAACTCCAAGTTGGTTTTATTAGTTGTAATATTATCCAAGCGTTTAATAATAAAATATAGATACAGGTGACTTAGATAATAAAAAGCAGCTGAAAAAACAGAGACGAATATAACACAGAGGCATACGTGTATGAGGTGAAATCATTTTGTGAAATTGACTTCGAAATTGACATTCCTACTTTGAAATGGACATGCGGATAGCCGGTCAGTACGACAGGCGTAAAGCGAATAGGTCGTTACCCCCTTGGATTTGATATTTGTCTGACAGATTACCAGTTATATACTACATAACGTTATAACGCCAACAAATACTCGAGTTACCAAGCTTCTAAGAGAATAATCCAGGCCTTTTGTAAAATCACTTGTTAGATTTGTCTTTCGGTGAGAAGCAGATTTTACGTTTTTTTTGACAGATCCCTCAACCACCCCCGTTTTCTGCGATTTTGCTATCGTGCTAATAGTGGGGTTAGAGAGGTTTTCAGTGAGAGGGGAGGGGCGGCTGCCCAAGGGGGGTTATCTCGTGTAGTGTATATCTATATCTCGCACTTATATACACGTATGATTTCAAGTGGGTTAAATTCTCCTTTATAATGTACCAAATGAAGTTTCTCTCTGCGACAATATATAGCAAAGAGGGGCCCAACCGTCAAAACATTCCGACGTAACGGCCCATGATTGGCGCCTCAACCAATCCCGACAGGGACGTGAAGTGTCTTGATAACTACGAAAGGCAAGGGTAAATAATTATGTAGAAGTGTCGATGTATATATCAAACAAAAATGACGCGAAAACGTTTTAACGTGAGTAAAATTAGACCGAAATTTCCAGTAAATTAGTCAAATTGTTGCTAGTTACCTCTGGAGTAAATTGTATAAAATTCATCGATTTGATTTAGGTTTTCGCGTTTTATATTGACGTTCCCAGTCACTCAGTTGGGAGGTGAATAATTCACGATAAAAACGTTTGATGCGGCATACACATAACGTAAAAAAAAATCTTAAAAAGACGCTGTATAAAACAACATCCGTAATCAATTTCTATGGCGTTGTCAATATCAGTGCGAATAAACATGGTCTGCGATTGCAATTATTCAACTCTGTAATGATAGCTATTACTAAAAACGGAATGAGGGTCGCATGATAATTTAGCCATCTCGGTGCTGTGTGTTTCTTGTACGCGATGCCGACGATGTAACTTGCACTTCAGTGTGATGAAAGATGACAGCGTATCGATCGGCGATATCGACATCGCTGATGTCAATTTCACGGCATTTACGCTCGAATCAATATATTACTGATCCATTTACAATCATCTTGTCCTTGTGTACTTTATGAGTTAGAGACAGAAAATATGAGTAATTTGTAAGCCGCCTCTCATTCAGGGAGATGTTATTGAATTATGGTACATACAAATTATCACTGTTATTACAATCATAAATAAATAAACATGAAAAAATAAAAGCCAATTATTCCTCCTTAAATGATATAAAAAGCCAGAGAGGAATTTCAAAATAATTGTATTCCATGCTTAATAACGGGCAGAAAAATCCTATCCGAGTGCAAACTCATCATATGCGTTTGTCAAAATGTTGGAATTGATGAGTTTTGGCATAACGATGAAGATATAAAATTTTAGATCCGCATCTATTGTTTAAATGTAACATCTTGTTAAACGATTCCAGGCTTTGTTTTTATTCAAACCATGTGTGTCTAGATAACTCAGCCACCTGCACAGCGCTGAGTCAGTCGAGTTCAAATGCTCCACGTGAAGACAGAACGTATCGTAAACTTGAATCTAATTCAATTTTTAATTTCTCGTATATACCATTCTTATCGAAAGTTTAAAAGTGGATCTATTGATTTACTGCTTTACTACGAGCTCTTAAACATCATGATTATTTCATATTTTAGACCGAATGTGAAAAATACCCGCCCAACACAAATAATAATAAAATTATACTTGATGTATATACATGTTAAACCAATCATATATCCCAAAAAGTGAAACACACATTTTGATTAAAACTATAAACTTAAACTGTTGCGTAATGTTTGAAGGACTTTCGATCAAACTATGTCAAAATTTCACTAAATTATTCTAACGTGTACCGAAAACTGTGTAAAAAGTTTTATTTGTACAAGGCATTTTTAAACAAATACAGTCGAAGCTGTTTGAAATATTCCTATATTGGAGCATACTATTGTGTTTTACGAGTTCACAGCAATTTGCTAACCAACAAAAACACAGTATCGAAAACACTTATCAATGTGTAAAATAAACATCCTTGGACATAAATATTCACCGTACGTCAGTATTTCGTGGGATTAGCCGGTATTAATGATATCTTACAACAGGAATGCAAATAAAACCCTACAAGGATTTTTCAATCAAATTTTTCGCAATTTGAATTATTTCCTTTCAAACATGTACGTTAACTTATAAATTTCATTAGGTACATGTCCAGGGTTTGTAAACAAATATGCAAAATGAGATACATTTAATACGATCGCTGTAGATGTAATGTCAACCTTTATTATAATGTTTTTACTTTTAATATTAAAAACATTTGAAATACAACGGCAATGTCACCAAGAAATAATTAAAACATAAATTATTTATGAATCTGTTTGATGTAAACGCTATTGACTTAATCTTTTTCATATCTTTTCAGATTCCAGCGAGAATTCGAAAACGAAATCAGAAGACAGCGGAACAGAGGAAGATAAAAAGAAGAAAAGACAAAGAAGACAACGAACACACTTTACTAGTCAGCAACTACAAGAATTAGAGGCGACATTTGCTAGAAATCGTTACCCTGACATGGCAACACGTGAAGAAATATCTGCCTGGACAAATCTAACAGAAGCTAGAGTTAGGGTAAGTTTACTGAATTCAGATAACTCGAAAAATATAAATAGAAATAATTCGTTCCTTCGTTCGTTCGTTCCTTCCTTCCTTCCTTCCTTCCTTCCTCCTTTCTTTCCTTCCTTCCTTCACACACTTCACACACTTCACACAAAGAAAACCAGTGTACGATCCTCTGAAAGAAATATCTTGTTTTTGTCTTCCGGTCATCTTTCCATTTTTCTTGAGTATACATTCTGATGAGAGACTGCGCTAATAGATTTAATATTTAACACATTGACTACTATCTGTTTTGAATTAATTTTACGTACAAAGCGATGTGTATATGCCTCGTCACCTTACTCCTCCGTGTAAAAAAGTAGCATGGCTTTTGTTTCAGGGTAAAATAGAATGAAGGAAAAAGCCCTGATTAATCCATTTTGAAGTTGTTTAAACTTAATACATGGGAAAGGTCATACATATAGCGATGTTTAAAGTATGTAAAAATAAACATACTGAAATTCCGATATAAAATCATTTAAACCTATTTGGAAAAAATTTTACTTTTAACCCGCGAGGAAAATATGAAGACATCTTAGCATCGCGATAGAATACATCTTTAGAACTAGAAAACCTTGATTCTGTAAACGTACGCGCCTGAAATGCATGCACGAGAGTACACGTGTTCACATCCTTGTATTAATTTACTTTAATGACCATTTAAAGTATGTAACAATAAGGAAACCTGGAAATTATGAAATGACTCGGTTGATACCCATAGCGTGTCATTTTCAAACGAGAAAGACCAGAATTCATGTTGTAATATAAGTTCATTATCAAAGAATACTTTCGAGTAATTATCGCTCCACGCTAATTAGATCAAGCTCTCAGTCATATAATTACAAACTTCATTCATCAAAGAGAGGGCTTAAGAAAGGCTTTACAAATTACCACAGAAACAGTTGACATCGCGTTGTTTTTGGGTATTAATTTCAAAGTTTTGCGTTATTTTTTCGGAATGTCGTTTAAACGAAACGAAAACAGCCGTAAAAGTGGACATTGCCATACCCTCAAGGAGTTTTTGGAGATTCGTTCCGCATGAAAGAATGTATTGGAATTTTTATATAACCACGACACAATGTTAGACAAATCCGGCCGGATCAAAAATTAATTACATCAAAGATTGGTCGCTACTAGACATTGAAATTACGCGAGAGTACGTAATTTTTTTAAGCGGCATGAAATTGTAAAATGTTAAGAAGGTCTATTTGGAAGTAAAAAAGTATCAGTTTTCATTTCAGGATTAAATAATTTATTTATAATTTTAAAAGCTTTAGTATAGTCGTTTAGGAAATATTTTTGTATCTCTTATTAGATGCATCTAGAAATGAATCAATTTCGCGAAAGTGGTTAACGGAATTTTACATGATAATATATCTATCTCATACTTATAATTATTTTGTACATTTTAACCTATTAGACATAAAAATACAAGCGTCGCTCACGAAGCATGTGTTACCAATTATTTCTGCTTTTCCTCGGCTAATTAGCTACAACACTATCGCCGTACCAGGCATTCTTTACTAGCTTCAACTATTAACATCACTGAAATGTAAATTTGAATAGGCTTGAAATGTACACGAGGAAATGAACATCGACAAGTGTAAATAAACACCCTACAAAGAAAACAATTCAGTAGCGGACACGAGGCGTGAATGGAAGTGTGTTTGTCAATATCTTCAAGGCAATTTTGATTTCTGAACAGCTTCTTGCCAATAAATTAGTTATTTTTGTGGAAAAAATAATAGAAACTATTTCATGTCATACTGTTATATTTGATAACGATTTAATAAGTCACAGTTATATACGCTGAGTATAGAGAGAAATTCCCACCGTTTTACTTTTTAAAAAAAGGAATTTGGCAGTAATGTGTTTCGTCTAATAACGAAATAGCGTATATCTTTCCTCAAAAATAATTACGAAAAAAAGTAAAAAAAAAAATAAATAAATAAACTTACGAAACTGACATTTTTCGTTTGTCAAAAATAAGTATGGTTTTAAAATATGGCATTTAATAATTTTCTATAATTGGGTTTAGATTTTGATAAAAAAAAGGACTTGTATTTATTACCAAGTCTTAGAGAATGACATATTGTGTATTAGTTGTAGACAATTTTCGAAATGTTAGGAGATGAATTGGAAAAGATTTTTTGAATTATCACAATATATAACTTAAATTAAAACTTAAACTAGAAATTAAATATATATTCAATTATATATTCAAAGTGCGAGTTTGGAGTAACGCAACGAAATACTCCTACGAAAGGTAACTAATCGAAAATGCTCCTTAGAGATACACAACCTCTGAAAGACAGATACATTCTTCAAAATAATATACTGTTACAGTTATTATCTCATACTCACAAAGATACTTTTATAATTTGGTATCTCACACATGATTTGATAGCGATGAAAACAGTCAACACTTAATTTATTCATTTCTGATAAGAAAAGGAGATTTGTCTTGTGCGCATGCGTCCCATCTCATTTTTCCATCGATACAGTGGTATTGAGGTTTCTTACCCAGAAACGGTGAAATGTCACTTGACAGGGCCAGTTGCAGCTAAAGGACAAATAATAAGACTTTGGTCCAGAGCTATATGTACGCAATATAAACGGCCAAATAAATGGTTTGAACTTGTTTATAAATCGTTATTGAGAATATAAACCAAACCCCATATACGATAATCAATGAACGATATTGTCAAAGCGGGAAATAAATAATTAAATAAATAAATAGATAAATAAATAAATAAGTAAATAAATAAATAAGTAGATAAATAAATAGATAAATAAATAATGGTTTTATTGCAATAATTATGATTGAATTAAACCAATTGTCACAAAACATACAGTTAAAATAGAAACACGACGAGTCTTGCAAATAGAATAATAAATTATATTTCAATCATAATTTAAATTTTATCTTAACAATTGAAAAATAGAAATGAAATGTTTGAAAACATTTGCATAATAAAAATGAAATTAAAAAAAATCAGGACCTGCTGGAATATCTGAATAATTACAACGGAAATCCTACAACTGTTTATTGGAAGGGGATTTGATTTTCAAGTAGAAAACAAGAATCGCCTTCTTCTCATTTCAATGTTAAATCTTAATTTCCTTGCACCCAACCCCCTACTTTGTCACGACCGTAATTAATTGGAACCTTTCCTCGCCCCTTGTCATCTCTTGTCACATCTAACAGCCCGGACACGCCCGGCGATGAAGCGGGAGGATTACTTTGGACACAGAGTGTTGCTAATTGAGATGGATATGAAGTCTTCTGGGATACACACTTTGCAATTTGCTTGTTACGTGGTCGTTTTCTTGGGAGTTTCGCTCATCCATTATACAAAGCAAACATTCCAGTGAAACAGTGCCCAATTGTCCATAGAATTATGACAGTTACTGTGTTTCGAGGAGTTGGTTCCGTCACTGTCAACTATCAAAATATATCTATCAATATTTTCAGCCATTTTTCTCGTGTAAAGTACAAAACAGCCTTCGTTCAGATCGTCGGTTGTCACATGTCTTTCATCTCATCCATTTCTCCTGATTTTGTGTCCCCCCTCACACACACACACTCCACCTCCTCTTCTTTCATTCATTTTGTTTCTCCAGTCCCCTAAATCTTCTATTCCATATACTTTCTTCGTTTTCTCTTCAGTTTTCAGTAATAAAACATTATCAATCCCAACCAATCAGGATGCCTTTGTTATCATAGGGCATGAAATGAAATACAACATGTAATGAAACATTTCCCAATGTCATCCTCTTTGTACTTTGTTTCATTCGCTACATCATCTGGAGTGTTATATCATCTCTGTCACACTAAGCCGCTTATTTTTAATACCCCTCGCTTCGCCCTTAACAGACAAGCCCAGTAACACTGCTTTTTTTTCGACAATACATAGCAGCTACACATCCCATCTGGGGATTTTGCAGAAGACGTCATCAGAACCCTTATCACAAATATAAAACATTTCATTTCTGTCAACTCGTCCTTTGTGTGTCTAAAAAGGTTACTTCTGGCTATGACGTATTCGCCTTCTTTCTCTTCTAATTTCTTTTCGACTTAAATCACATCGCGTTAATGGATCAAAGCAAATGAAATATATTCTAAAAAAACTTCAATCATAATAGGAACCGATTTTAAGAAAAGTTTAAAAATAATTCAGTTCTCCTTATCTTTGTTAATATACGTGTAATTTACTATGTAAACAATTCTTATGGCAAAATATTTCGGCATTTTTCAAAATATTCACTTTAGAGGTTTTATTTTTCTCAAGGGTCTTCTCAATTTTTCCAAAAATATTATGGAAATGTAGAGTATTCTGATTATGTCAATGAAGCGAAAATTTATCATAAGTTTCACCTACAAAATGTGTATTTCAACAACAACAACAATACGCGGCCGGTTTCTGAGAGACAGGGAACATAATTTACGATCAAACTTTATTAAATCAATGTTGGAGCAAGAGAAGATTGTACAAACGTTATCCAAGCATGTTGTCACGATAGAGTTCGGGTGAGCAGACGACAGACCTAACCAGACAAACACACCACTCAGCCGAAGTCTTAACATATCACTCTTCCAAATTAACCCACACAACTACCACGGACACAATTAAAAAACTTGCCCGTGTTTCTTAGTTTGCTATGAGAGGAGATTCAACCAATTAAGTGGTTCCCATAATAAAACCTCATTCTGTCATGTTGTCAACAGTTACCTTGATTTGATATCAAATTTGGAACGGAGATTTATCGCTGTGTTTAAATGTATTGAAATAAGTCCATTATTGTCTTGATTTAGTAATTGAAATGTCCCAAGAATGTTACAAATGAGAAAACGAAAGCTCTTCCGCCCTTTTCATATTAAACATTGCACTTCCTTATCGATGAAAAATGTCCGGTGATGTTAACTCAAAAATTTTAGATTTGCCACAATTAATTACTTAATGTGTTATTAATGTTTTTTTGTTTGTTAATTTTCAGGTGTGGTTTAAAAATAGAAGAGCCAAATGGAGGAAAAGAGAAAGAAATATGGAATCGTTTAAAACAGGATTCGGTTCTCAGTTCACCGGGCTAATGCAGTCACCGTTTGATGACACTTTGTACAATGGGTACCCAAACAACTACTGGGCCACAAAAGTACCCAGCCCTTTAGGATCAAAGTCGTTCCCTTGGGGTCTGAACTCAGTCAATCCCCATTTATCCTCTGTTGTCTCCACGCAGCCAATGTGTTTTTCAGCACCCTCAAGTAGCATCAATAACTCTATGGTGGCAAATGTGCCCAACCTTCCTAGCAACATGACCAACACGGGTGCACCTTGCCCTTATGCCCCTCCGGCTCCTCCATACATCTACACCCCAAATAGGGATCAGTGCACGAACAGTATCGCTTCTCTAAGACTCAAAGCCAAACATCATTCTTATGGCTATCCACCCGTCAATCCAAGACAACCCACACTGTCGGCCTGTCAGTATGCAACAGTAGGTAATGGCGGTGCTGTATGATACCGGATGTGACGTAGTGTGCTGGAAACATTTTGAAGTGTTTGTCGATGTAGTGACGACGAAAATAGCACAGGAGCAGAATCTGTTGAGACTCAATCTGTTTTCGTCCACCTGAGTAAATGATCTACTGCAAAATATTACTGTTTTCTGCATTGGTTTGCATTTATTTTAATATTTCTGTTGTTATAACAGAGGATCTGATTTCTCATCAATGTAAATCTTGCCATGGAACAGTGTTTTTGCAACAGGCAGCAGAAAAAATGATAGATCTGACGCTGTACGCTAGAAAATCGTACAGGTAAAAGGACGACATTGTGTCACAGATCGAGGAAAGTGTTTAAACCCAATTCACAACTACTTTGGTGCAGAAAAAAAACGAAATCCTTTACAGGATATCACCGTCTGGTCACGATGGTCAGTGTTGAACTTTGACCTAAGGTCAGTATATATGATCTCCTTATCCATCGTCAATGTACACCTGACCTTGACCGAAGTCAAGGGCGCTACATATCGGTGACCCAATATACGCTTAACTATAGACGTTTATGAACAAAGTTTTATCATTTTTGTTGGTTGAATAGCTTTATATAAACATGGTTTGAATGTAACGGACTCATTATTACGTCACTGATTGTACGTTACAATTTTGTGACGTAAAACACACGAATGAATGACGTTGTTATGACGCGCTTTCAGGGGCTAATATATAATGTATTTATATCTCATAATCTATTCAACAATAACATGTGGTTTGCCGTATTTTAGTTTGTACATCCGGGTTATATTACTTTTAGCTATAGGTCATCTAGTGACAACACCATACAACCAAACTTTGTAATTCTGCAAATCATGTGATTTTTACGAAAAGTTTTGCCTCGTATTTCAAATGTTGTTGAATACATGTTAGTTACTATTCTGAATATAAGCAGAAAACAAACCAAAATGAGATGTTTTAACTTCTTGTAAATTGATTGGCAATATAATTGATTTATACTTCAAAAAATATGTATAGAGCTAAGATCTATGTATAACACATGATAACAGAGTTTTGAAATAACTACAAAATATTATTATTGATGAAATCCTCACACAAAGTTGTGAATAGTGCTAAAGGTTAGTATTTCTTTGAAACCCAACATCGATTTAATTATTTTGTTATGCAGAAAGAGACATTAGATAAAGAATATGTCTCCAGCTGTTAAAATATTGCATTAATAAAGTTTGGTATATTAAACTATTTTGTTTGTTTGTGATCTTTTGGGGCCTTTTTGCTTCAATTGTACGGAAGCAACAACTTTTATAGATATTTAAATATTTGCCATAAAACTGTGTTGGATTTTATTTGTTCTGCTGAATCATCAACATGTTGAAGAAAGGTACATTACTACTTCGTAAAAAGACAAACATTGATCCCACATCTATACGAAACAAATGTTCTCACTCAAAGGTGATATTTTTGTGACATGTGATTGTGTTGCAAAATAAATTTATATGAAGATTCATCGACACAATGCTATGTTATTGAAAATAACTTCAGGAATCCAAACAATGCATACTAACTGCAAATTGACATCAAGGAAGAATGCCATTTCCTCGATAGAATATAACAATAAAAATCGAAATAGTTTCCTGAGAAAGAAGACATGTTAACATGTTCACTGTTTCATATTTCATAACGCCATATGAAAATGACTAAAAACGCATATATAAATTATAACATATTTACAATTAACATCTTCACTTATTGTTCTTTAATGATTGACTATGAAATATGATTTGAATGTTTTCAGATTTTACCACAGAGACACTATATAATCACAATTATGATCATAAACTTATGTGGATGATAGTAAAATTTTTTCATAATTTTTGCTTGATGTTAAACAACAATGAAAAATGAAAAAAAAATGAAGTCATTTATCATACAAAGAATTAAATTTTGTACAAAATATACACAAAGGAATAGTAATTTTCAATACAAATTAAGGATACGATATTTATAGCCAGATAATAAATATTTTATTTTCACATTAAGAGTAATTAACATTACAAGAAAAAGAAAAGTTAAGGTTGAATTTATTTTTAGAAATGCCTGTTGATATCTAGACATTTGCATTTAATAGCGAATAGTAGTTAGAAATAGATCATTTCAGTTTTACACGAATTCGAGTATATAATGGTATAATATTTAGGTAACTATGGCAAGTAAAATATCAGAAAATCCAGAAAATGAATTAAATTAAGATACATATAGCTCAATTTTTCTAACAATACCTCGGATACTTTAATGGATACACCTGTTTCTTAGGTTTTTGAAGGGATTGTAACTTAATTGAATATTCTATTCGAGTGCTAACTTGTACGAATGTCATTGAAGAAGCGAAATATATCTATAAATATGAAACATTATTTTACAGTGAGATTAAATACATTATAAAACGATTGATTTAATGGATTTCATTGGTACTTTTAATACATTAATTTATATGCCCACGAACTGTTAAAATTTGTAAATTTATTGCGCTATAGTTATCAACGAAATCAATTGTCAGCAAAAAATTAATTTTTGAAAAAAAATAAGGAAGTTGAGCCCAACAAGAAATCTACAGTAATGATATAGTTTTCAGCATTTTATTTAAGTTCTATAATACATATAATGACCAACTTCAAACTCAAGATACTACCGTCAACTCAAAGAAAACACAAACAGAAAGAACTTCAAAACAATACAACATTAAGAATGCCGAAAAGCTTCCATATTTGGAGAAAGTTCTGACCTGCCCAGTATCCTGCTTAATATTGTTAGAAGTACATCTTACATAAATAGTGCTTCAGATTTCCTTATTAGTTTCCAACCTTTGTGTAGAGGTCGATATACTTATATAGTGCTGACTATGAATTATATTGTATAACGATGCTGAAACAAGGATACTGTACGCTGACATTATTTTGGTAGTACTCTCAAGGACAAAATTATCCTTTTAAATCTTCCACGTATTTTCCTAGCAACTTTGGGGCACCATTTATTTTTTCTCCATTAGAGACACAATTTCAGATTAGGTTTTGTGCAGTGCTATAAATGCCTTTCTTTTAAAGATCTCATTGTGCTTTCATTTATATTTCGACCTACCGTAAAGGGGAAATGACGATCGATTTTGCAACTCCATTTTCAACGGCGTGAAGAGAAATGTATTCTAACAGTTTTGACTTCTTACTTAAACCACTGTATGAATGTTTAAGATTTCACAAAAGACACACAAGTGAATAACACCTCTCAGGTCTTATGTAGAATTACATATAGAAGAACTAAACAATGAATGGTTTAAGATATAACAGTGAACATGCCATTTAACCAATTGAAACATGCATGTACAAATACATTTCACGAATACAATCATTGCTTAATTCCACAAACATGTTTTGGTCAATTACAATAATAATATATTAAGTAAATTATGATGTACAAGTGTACAAAATATAACAAATGAAAGCAAGTAAGAAAAAATTAATTGGGATGACACATACAGTGTCACAGCTGTACATAATATTCTCACTCCTACATACGATTATAGTACTTCGTGACAAGAAAATGATAAAAGATACGAGTACAGGAAATATAGCTGTAAGATTAACAGCCCAGTTCGCACAGAATTGATCGCCTGTTACTGAATGGCAGTTGTATATAACATGTAATATATGTTTGATTTTGGTATCTTTCTTTCCATTGTATAATATCTGATGGAGAATTCACACAATAGAGAAATTTTACGATTAAATGTCAATAAGGTTGTTTATAGTACTATACGACTTAACCCATGACCCGACAAGTGCAGCACACTAGGACAAATAGTATCTAAATATGTAGATAAAGGTTTAATCTGGTTGTGTAAACACTAAGCACTACTGTACTGATTAAAGTTCAAAATCTGTCGCAAAATTGGGCGGAAATCCGAAAGATAACTCCTCCGAGGTCCCAATCAGGTTGGCGAGGTGAGATGTTCTACAAGCATGAAGGATTACCATGGCTTATACTATACAAATCTACTTTTCAGCAAGTTGTTAAAAATGTCGCCATTTGTACACAGGGTGTAAACTTCTTTTAAGGATAATTTTATATCGCGGTTCTATTCAGGTGTTTCGTTTGGCACCTGATAAAGACAAGGTTTATCGATAAAGACTTTGTATACAAGAAAGCATTGGCTTCATTGAATTGAAAGGTGAATGCACTTTCCAGTCTGATTTTTCTTATCTTTCTCGATCACCTAGGTTTCAGCATCTCTGACGAGTCTTGGAAGAATGAAACAGCAATGTGATACGGTTTCAGTCATTTTCTGGCTATACTGTATTTTGAATTTACTTGTTTGCCTCTTGTACAAACTTCATGACTAGGAAGCATATACTCTATATTGGTATCGAAACAAAAATCTTACAAATCAACTGGATAAAAGAATATAATAAACACCGTGTACCGCTGAAACAAACATAATGAACACCTTCAGTAAACCTATAAGTGTTGTGGACTTTATATATGAATTTTCTTTTCGTTAATCAAATTAACATAATGATAGAAAAGGAAGAATGAGTATTTACTATGGGATCATGGGGTTATCTCAGGAGCTTTGACAGTCAACAAACATCTATGGTTTACTCTAATTTCTTTCAATTTTTAAGTAGTTTGGGGTTTTAAGGCATTTGAGATATATCATTTAGTTTGTCATGATATATATCTATGTAACGCCCAACAGGAAGGAGAAAAGAAAAATAGAAAAAAACATTTCTCCACAAGAGATTTATGAACTTTTATTACTTCAATTTTAGTATGAATTGAGGAACACCCAGCTCACATTTCGAACACAAAATATCATCGGGTTATTAAAGTATAAAGTGTTTTAATTTCGTTTGCAGCACACAAATGTCCAGTTAATCAATCAATAACAGGGACAGTTTTTAATGACACGTTATCTGATATACATGACCCAATCCACCGATATCTGTATGTA